AAAGATATTCACATTAGTATAACTTCAGATTGCATATTCAAGTTAACATAAAAAGGTCAGAAATGGTTGTTAGCCCTAAGGCTTTTAAAGCTTGATTTTGATATTAAGAACATTTGACGAAAATTTAATACAAAAAGCAAAAGGAAGGAGAAAGAAAATAAACAAAGATCATTGTTTATCTGCAAGAAAGAAAAAGGAAACACAAAAACTAAACGTATACATATATATTCACCAAGATATCTTTATAGGGTTTAAAGCTGTGGAAAAAACTGCAAATGAATCATTTCACCTTGCAAATTAGCTCTCCTTGGAAACCGCCTGCACCATAAAATTTCCTTCACTGCCAGAGTGCTTACTGCTTTTTGCGTAAAACCTTCTAATAAACTCCCCGCATGTTTCTACATTGCCAAATAGTTAAAGTTACAAACTACTTCAGAAAATTATATGTAGTGAGATGAATCCACCCAAGATTTACTGTATGAAACAGAAGGAATTACTCAAATTATGTATACTAAAAGATTAAAACAAGCCTACTGTTAAGCATAAGCCTATCAATATACAATTTACTCCCCAGATTATGCCATATTTTTATATAGAATTTTCGAACTCAACCCGTTCACTGAAACATTGAAAAATTCCTTTGAAAGAAATTTCTTTCAAAGAACTTTTTCCAGTTCTATAAGTTACTCCATAGCAAAACTAAAGGTGTACCCTTTTGCTCTAAATATAGGATTCGTTATGTGTACATGGGTAAGATAACGAAGTAATTTGTATACCTCATTAGGGGCTATATGTCCTGCGAAATTGAGAATCTCCGACAAATTGGAAGACACTGTTGACCAATGCTGACTGAATAATTGGACATGAGGTAAACATCATGTTTCGAAGTAGCCCGACCAAGTTCCTGGCTGCATACCAATTACAGAAAGTTATCGAACAATGAAAAATATAAAGAATACCAAATTCAGCCATTACAACAACATCAGATATTGCCAAACTACGGATATCAAAGAAAAATAATACACAATGACTATATACTCTTAAGGGGAGAAGTACTTTAAAAATCTCCCCTACATGAGCTTTTCAACATAAACTGTATAACTGAAATATTTTCAGGGAACAAAAGCTTGCCACACACAATCAGAATAAACTTTTATTGTTTTTTCTTATTTTGCAGCTTTCCTTGGGTGCCAAAGGTATCAGAAAGAAAATCACAAAAGTAAAAGTAACACTCAAGGCAGAGTTAGCACATGTGAAAACTTGTCCAATGACATTCCACCCACTACTATTTCATTCCAAAACAAACCTAAATTAATAACCGTGTTAACTATATTATTGCTGTGGTTAAATAGCTCAAGATTCCACTTCCAAGAAATTGAAGATCAAAGTTTAACATATTATGAGATACAAAGTGAAAGGGGGCAACTATCTTCCTACAACAAGGATAAACACATACAGATCAAACACCCACATAGCCAATAACTAACCCCTGCCATTAACAAAACTGAACCGGAAGTGAGGTAATGCAAACTTAACAGTGATTAAATGAACAAATACATGAATAATGTACAAAATTTTTCTAAATAACTTGAAATGCAGCTAAAAAGTAACAAAATATAGCACTTAAAAAATTTACAAACCTGGAAATGAGAATAGTAGCTTACAATCTGGTGTTATGAAAAAACTCATAATAGTTTCCACTTTTTTGCGTTTGTTTGCATTCCTAAAACAACAAATTAATCATAATCAAAAAATTTAAATTCTCTCACCTTCCCGATAAACCAAAAATAATAATAAAAAAATTCATACAAAATTGACAAACCTTGTCCACAGCTTCACCAGATGAAGGAACGTTCTCATAATTCTTGTACTGCTGAGCCTCGTCAATCTGTAACTCTCCCTCGTTATGTTCAAACTGTCCCCACGGAATCCCCTGTATGTCCTTGCCTCTCCGCGCTTGAGCCGCCGGTATCAGTCACCTTCGTCAGCTGCTTCAACAAAAGAATGATTAAAAAAATTAAATATAGGACGACGTCTTGGGTCTAAATTTGAAGAAAAGTAAGATAAGAAAGGTAGGGAAGAAAGTTTTAACCATGTCGTATTCATTAAGCTCGTTTTCAGCGGGAGCTATAAAGTAATTTTCATCGTCCATAAACGGCCATGTCTGGTTCGTAATGGAATGCCTCCAAGACATGCTATTGAAGAATGAAGTTGAAAAGTAAAGAGGAAGGTGAAGATGAATAAAGTGTGGAGTTTTAGTAATGATAATTAATAATTAAAGAGAAGTTGGGTTATCATTTGTCGGCTAAAACGGTTTGTTTTATTGATGGAGAGAGCACGCAAACGTCATGTTTTGTGTGTTTGTATTGAGAATGAGAGAGGGTTTTCTTCTACGACTGTTATTTCAATAATCAAGACGACTACGTGGTCCCTACGTTTTTATGTCTACGTGGCATTTCCATTTAAATTGCCTATCCATTTATGGCAATTGATTTAAGATTCCATTTGGGCCTTGGCTTTTCACACAGCAACTCGTTTTCATAACGTAAATACAATTAGGGTCACAATCTTCTCTCAAAACTTTTGATACGTTATACATTGATCATAATTGTCAATTCATAAAGGAGTAGATGGAACCCATAACAAGTAAAAAAATTCATTTATAAATTGATCAATTATGAGTTTTCATACAAGTAAAAAGATTTATTATAAATTGATCAATTTAGAGTTTCTATCAAAATTGTGAGAGAAACTTTTAATATTGGTTATGGACTAAACATTTTTTTATTTAACAATTCTAATATGTATTAATTAATTTAATATATAACTAAGTGTATACTATATAGTCTATAGTTATAACTCTTCTCCTTACCAATTTTTATTAAATAAAAACGTTAACATTTTAGATCATTTTCACATCTAATTAAATCTTAACCATCCATTTACGTTAGTCTACCATAGGGTTGTAAACGAACCGAGCTATCGTGAACACTTGATGTTCGTTCAATAATAGCTTGATGTTCGTTCAATACAGCTCGATTCGACTCGATAACAAACTATTCACGAACAGTTTGATGTTCGTTGATAATGTGTTCGATCGAGTTCAAACATGGGGTATTGATTTGATTATGTTCACGAACATATTACATTCAAGTGATCCATCCGTTTGGCGAACACTTTATTCGCTTATTCGTTTGTTTATGTTTGAAAACATGATATATATTATATATATATTTATATGGTCTAAGTTTATTAAGGATTTTCTATAACTTAGTGTTAAAAATATAATTCTTTTGACTTTAAAGTCCTTAGTCCGAGTTGCATTAATATCATTTTTATATTTTTTTTTCTTTTTTGTATAATGTTGGTTTAGTTTGGATGAATTTTTTATAATAAAATCATAATAAATATTAGATGTTTTTGTTTTTTTATACATATAATATGTTTGAATTTTTTTTTTTTTAGATGTATCAATAATTGATATATAAGTATATAACATTTTAATTAATAAATAATAAATTATTATAATACATAGCAACATTTAATAACATAATGATTGTATCATCAAGTGATAAATAAACTAACAAATTTAAAACATAATAGTTTTATATTTTTTCAAATGTAATCAATAATTAAATTTATAAGATAGCATTTCAATTAATAAATAACAAATATAATATGGTAAATTGATGAATATAACATATTGTATAATTAAGTGATAATAATATGACAAATTTAATAACATAATAGCTTAATTATATACATAAACCCAATAACCAACAAACTAACTTGCCCATCCCAAATTTGGTGTGTATTTTTTATTCGAATGAGTTATTCAAACATGTATTTACAAGTTATTCAAACGTTTAGTCGAATGATCACAAACCTCATTTTGTTAATCGAACACAGAATTTGTTTGAGTTCCAACACGATTTCACAACCCTTGTGCTTATCGAACGATTTTCAAATGGGGGCGTTCGGTTCGTTTGCAACCATAGTCTATTGACTTTATTGATTGAAGGAAATTGGAACGAGTATGGGCTAACCACAATGTTTTACATTGCTCTTACGTTAATTGTAATATGATATTGTGAGGATTATGCTCTTGTGTGATGAAACAATCAATCAAGGCTTTATTCACATAGTTATATGATTTTATGAAATTTTGTAATTTGTCGCAATTAAACACAATGATTCTTTTGTTTCTTTTTTTCAGTTTCAACTGATTTCATTTGAGATTGAGTTGTATATGAGATTCTATGTTAAATTATTTTTTCACAATATTTGTCTATTACAAAAATATAATGATCCATTTTATACTTATGGATCATTGAACTTAAAAACCTGAAAGTTAACCGGCGTATCCGGACCAGCTTACTATAACTCAATAATCCTCAAGGTCCATTAAAAATTCTACAAGTCCAAAGGACCAAATAAGTCATAATATTATTGTAGTAGTAACCTCATATTTGATTATAGAAACTCAAAGAAAGAGCCAACCTCTTTTAACTTCTGACTAACCCTTTACAAGCAAGGGCGGATTTAGCCCTTTTGAGGGTAGACCCAGGCCTATCCTCAAGTTTTAAAGAAAAATTATTAGTATATAGACCCACAAAATTGTTATTAACATATATACCCAGACCTCCTCGAATTTAAAAAACAAAATTATATACATATATTTAGACCCACAAAAAACTTGTTATTAATATATATTTCCAAGCCCACATCATATTAAAAGTTTAAAACTCTCTCCACTCTTCTTCTGGCTCCACCTGCTTTTTATAATTTATCCCCAAAATTTTTTACTCTCTCATTCTCTCGTCTCTTCTCTCATGCTATTTCATCTTATAGGAAAAATGAGTTTTCCGGACACAAATGTTGGCGTCGGAATAAACAACCTCTCCCGATGAAATACGACGTTAGGGGAGTTATTTATCTTTCCCGGTGCAACGCAACAATGGTATCATAGTAGGCCTGGATATCTTTTAAAACCTGTTGCGATGCAGAATCAGCGTCACCATAGGTCTTCGAGATATCTTATATAATTACACGACTTTGAATGAAAAATTTAAGAATACTACCTTACTCTGACTTTAAATTTTTATATGCAGGACTTTGTCACACAATAACTTAAGTGGTTCAATTCCAAAATCCATTTCGAAGTTAAACAAGCTGAAGATTCTGAAGTTGGAGTTTAATGAGCTAAGTGGAGAGATACCACAAGAACTAGGAAAATTGGAAAATCTTCTAGCTGTAAATGTTTCATATAACAGACTCATAGGAAGGCTCCCTGTTGCTGGTGTATTTCCCAGCTTGGATCAAACTGCATTGGAGGGAAATTTAGGCCTCTGCTCACCTTTGTTAAAGGGACCTTGTAAATTGAATGTTCCAAAGCCTCTTGTTCTTGACCCAAATGCATATGCCAATCAAATTGATGGTCACAGGCCAAGAAGTGAATCCTCAAATCCAAAATCCAGTCGTCGCATGTTCCTTAGTGTTTCTGCAATTGTTGCGATTTCTGCAGCTGTTATAATTGCATTTGGAGTGGTAGTAATTAGTCTATTAAATGTATCAGCCAGAAGGAAACTTGCCTTTGTTGATACTGCCCTGGAAAGCATGTGCTCAAGCTCTTCGAGGTCTGGAAATATCACTGCCAGTAAGCTGATTCTGTTCGATACAAGATCATCACCGGATTGGATCATCAACAATCCTGAAGCCCTCCTGAAAAAGGCGGGGGAGATTGGCGAAGGAGTCTTTGGTACTGTATACAAGGTACCACTGGGGGCAGAAGGAAGAATGGTAGCAATCAAAAAGCTTGTTACATCAAACATAATCCAACATCCTGAAGACTTTGAACGAGAAGTTAGAGTACTGGGAAAAGCAAGGCACCCGAATTTGATATCCCTGGAAGGCTACTATTGGACACCTCAATTACAACTTCTAGTCTCAGATTATGCACCAAATGGTAGCTTGCAAGTCAAGCTTCATGAAAGACTCCCTTCAACTCCACCGCTTTCTTGGACAAACAGATTCAGAGTAATACTTGGAACAGCTAAAGGACTTGCTCATCTGCATCATTTCCGTCCGCCTATAATTCACTACAACATAAAACCCAGCAATATCTTGCTTGATGAGAACTTCAACCCCAAGATTTCGGACTTTGGCCTCGCGAGATTGTTGACGAAGCTTGATAAACATGTGATGAGCAATAGGTTTCAGAGTGCAGTAGGGTATGTAGCACCAGAATTGACATGCCAGAGCCTGAGGGTGAATGAGAAATGTGATGTTTATGGATTTGGGGTGCTGATACTTGAGGTTGTGACAGGGAGGAGGCCAGTTGAATATGGAGAAGACAATGTGGTAATATTAAGTGACCATGTGAGAGTAATGTTAGAGCAAGGGAATGCGTTGGAATGTGTGGATTCAGGCATGGGAGATTATCCAGAAGATGAGGTTTTGCCAGTGCTCAAATTGGCCCTGGTTTGCACTTCTCAGGTGCCATCAAGCAGGCCTTCCATGGCTGAAATCCTCCAAATTTTGCAAGTCATCAAGACCCCACTTCCTCAAAGAATGGAAATGTTCTAAGAACATAATTTCTTAATTTGACCTGTTGACTTTATCGTTATTTTTGTTTAAATTGGTGTGTTGTACCCTTATCGGTTGTAGTATATTTAAAGCTGGATGGAATATACCAGTTGTTTTTCAAGTTAAAAAGAGGTTTATTATTATTATTATTATTATTATTATTATTATTATTTTCTCAAAACGAGACATCACAACAAACATACAAAACAATATGGTTCAATCAAAATGAATCATTGTTTTAACTAACCAGTTATCGATAACTTAATGATGCGTGTTTCCTACAACATGTAAATGTAGCAAGTATACTAGTCACATAAGTAATAGAGTGATGAGTAGAGTATCGTTCCCACGAGGATAGTGTTACTAAATACCGATTTCCCTAGTTTAAATCCTAATTGAAGAAACATTAAATTAGATTTATGAAAAATTAACAACTAAATACAAATTAACAAAATAAAAATGAATGATAATGAAATTAAAGCAAAACCCAACAACTTAACTAATTCAACAATGCTAAAAAATGCTAAGGTGTTGATTTCACCTAGATACGTTAACCCAAATCATATAATCTATTACCCAAGTTCTAATTCCTTGATTGAAAATCGAATTCCCTAAGTTGTAAAATATACCTTCTCAGGCTACATTTCCCTACTTATCCCTATTAAGCTTCCGCACCCAACAAAATGAAAATTAATAGTTGAAAGTTTTTTAAGCTTTATAGAACTCTATCTAGATTTCATAGATCGCTAAACCTATCTCTAGCGTTTGCTTAATCTACGATATTTATCCCAAGAGGCACAATCACAAATCACTTCTCAGTCCGCATGTGAACAGCACACATTTGAATGATGATCAAACATCCAAAAGTCATGAAGCAAAGAGATAAACACTTAATCATAAAATAAAACTCAAGTAAAAATTCATATAAATTTGAATCATTGTATCAAGGTTACAAACCCTAGCTAAACAACTCAGTCATACTCAAAAACGAAATAAAGAACAAAAATAAACTGAATCAAGATTCATCATTGAAAAAACAAGCAAAAGATGGAGAAATTTCTCTAATTTGAAGCTCAAATCTTCAATAATCTTCTCCTTCCATGAGCTGCCTCCCAAATGACGAACCAAGACTCTTCTCTTCCTTTTCGCTCTAATTTATACCTCTCTCACTTAAGGATCAAGCCCTAGCAAGCCAAAACGCATCGTTTTATTTTTACATCTGATGCAGGTTTCGCCGCGACAATGACTTTCAGGCCAAATATGAGCAATGATAGAGTCTGAATCTGGAAAAGTGTTAAACATATGAATTGTAGCTTTAAATTATCCTTCTGGTCGTCAGGAATCAGCCCAATCTGAGGTCTACAGTCAAGTTATGGCAGAGAAATATTGAAGCACGTCCAAAGACATTTTCTTTCAGTTCCCAATGTACTTTTCACGATTTCAAACCAAGTTTCCAACTTGTCCAATCAGAATTAGGAAAAACCAAAACATGAAAGTTGTAGCTCTTCTTCTTAGCTTTCCAAAGCTTCTAAATTCAGGTCATTCCAAGTTTGCAAGCTCAAGTTACACAATTTACGTTCAAAAATGTCATTTATGCTCAAAACATCGTTTAGACTTGCAAAGACAAATTATATAATTAGGTAGCAATTATGACCCAAATTGTATGAAAAGTATAAATCCTATTAAAATCAATGCAAAATCACAGTGTAAAATATGTTATCACTTAACAATGAATTCCAGTTCTTTTCCACATTCATTGGAGGCTTCGTCCATGTTTCTGTTTTACAAATATGACATTTTCAGAGCATTTCTAATAATATCAAGCATTATTCATATTTGGCATTGATTAGCGTAATATATGCCAATTACTGGATTAGCATTATTCAGATCACATTAATTTTTCGGGACCATTACTTTTTCGCTAACAAAACCCTATGGACAGTTAATTAACCCATATATTCAAAGTTATAACAAAAATAACTTTTTCTACAAACAACTTTGATTTCAACAAAATGCCTTACAAAATAGCAAAGGATGATGTAAAAAAAAAGGACGGGTAAAAGTAAAAGTAAGAGAGGATCCGCTTATATCATCAAAATACAAATAAGAAACAAGATATCCATAGGTGTGCCTCATTATACTGAAGTAAACTAGCATAAGTCCTGTCCCATATTCCTATAAATAAAGACTCGTCATCTGGACTAAGAGATACTCCCGATATCTCACGAAGAAATCATCTCTTGCTGCATTTTGAAATCTCCCTTGGTACATACACATGCACAAAGTCTGCAGGTTCGGCAACGACCATGAACTGTCCATCCAATGAGAAGCGAACTGATCGGATGGCCCCTAAGTTTCCTTTAAGAGTTGCAACTGGCACAGACAGCTTCCTTATATCCCATACTCGGCAGGTCTTATCCTGATTCCCTGTAGCAAAAATGCGTCCATCTGGGTGCCATGAAGATGCAAAGAGTAATCCTGGTGACCAACCACTGTGGCAACAGTCTGAAAACATAAACAAGAGATCTCATGGTCAATAAAACTACACACTACACGATCCACCTTACAAGTCTATTCAAATAATTGCTTATAAGGTGGAATTCAGCTACTAATAAAAAGCTAAAAAAACAAAAGTCATCTGGAGACTCATGTTGCAAAAATCTCCATTGCTAAACGGAGTCATAAATGACAGAAATGATTGCTTCCAAAATCTTCAGAAATGACACAAGGCACAACAAATGTTTAAAAATTTGGATAAATTCATTTGGCCAGCAGTTATTTTGAAGCGATTAAAATACATAAAGCTTCAAATGGCTGCAAATAAATTTCAAACAAAAACCATCCTTCTATTTCATGACAAGGCTATTATAAAGAATGGCCCCTAAATTCCAACGAGGGGAATGCTCCTAAACCAAACCATTAAAGTGACTGAGGAGAGTAGATGCAGCAGGAAAAGGAAAATGGTTTCAGTGATTGAGAAATTTGAATTTTTTTTCATAAAAACAAAAAAGTACATATAAACAATAGTAAAAGACAGAATTTTACCAATAAATTCCAAACTTGTCATTTCATCAACACCAAAATATTTCTTCAAAAAAAGAAATTTGCATCTGAATTATATCAAGCCAAATCATATCCAATAATTAGGAAAGAATACATACCTCCCATTTTGTGAATCAATAAGCAATGCCTCTTTGTGACTCCAACAACAACAAAAATCTTGCAATCAGGACTCATTGATGTATGCTGTGCATCAAAACAGGAGTAGTCATGAGAAAAAGATATCATGCCAGGATCATAGGAGCTCTAATTACCACCAACAACATAGCCTTGTTGATTCATAGAATCATAACTTGACAAACGAAATCTAACTTTTTTTTTTTTTTTTTTTGTACACAACTTCCAAAATATACGACTTGCATACATAGTGGGGTTTTCATTTAACCTTTTATTTACCCTCAAAAACCAACAGGAACAAATGAGAATAGTACGGAAAGTAGCTCCTCCAGAGATTGAAAAAATCACATATGTCTCACATCACACTTGTCTACTTTTCTTCCCTATAAATCTACAGTTAATCAAAAACGAAAACAGGAAAAAAAGCCATTGACAAGGGAGAATAGTAGATCCTAGCATGTGAGTAGCAATCATTGCCAGCATCTCTATATCTAAATTTGAAGCAGAAACTCAGTTAAACTCAATTCCATTTACAGGTTGAAATCTAAAGAAATCAGCTGCCTAAAACACTTTCTACTAGATTATTATCTGGCAAAGCAGTTTAACCTTTGAGGTTCTAACCTACAAATTGAAAAAGGGTGGTCAACATAAATGAAATGAACTAGAATGGTTATAATCAAACAGGTAATTATCTCTAAGCAGTTAAAAAGCTTACATTCACTGGCCAAGGGAAACGGTAGTGATTTAAAGCTGAAATCTCGCCATATCATATTCTCTTACACCGAGTCATTGTGGATGCCATTAATGGGTCCCACCCTGCCAAACAGATTTTAGATCAACCTATCCCATTGAGATAACAAGTCCTCCAAAATAATTAGGAATAATCATACTACCTCGCACTGTCATATATCTCAACAGCATTTGTTATGGAATTATCATCCAAGTCATCCGGGTACAAAAGCTTACTCCAAGCTTATCCCAGCGCTGAAGCAGTAAATAAAAAATCAATGTCAAGAACATAAAAGAAATCATATAAAAGCAAGGAATATAAAATGAAAAAAGTCTGTATATTCCAGATGCACAAAACTTTCTGCCATATCCAACATAAGCCACAACCCAGCCAGTAAACTACAATGATATTAACATGATTATATTAAAGATCATGAAAAGAACCAGGACAAAAAAGCAAGCAAGAGAGCACAGTCATCATGTAATTATACCATTACAACAAGAGCAGATACAAACTAATATATGACAAACTGACAACAAGAAAATAAATTAATTTTAAAAACAATACAACTCTATCAACTAAAATAGTCGAATAACTTTGCACACACAACAAAGAAAAGCAATGAAGATAGCAATCCATAAACAACTAAGGGACTTCCATTCAAAATATATATGGAGCAGAATCCAGAAAATCAAGAGTTAAGGAAAAAGTTAATAAAATACAAGTGATAATTATAAGATAATCATGATTTTTTTTTTTTTTAATAGAAGTATATCAAATTCCCGAAACTGTTTATACAATAGAAATCTTAGTGCAAAAGGAACCTCTATTATCTTACGATTAACCACTATCGGCTTTTCAAGCTGCACTACTAGTTACAATAACAAGTTTCACTGAAGAAGCAAAGTAAAATTTATACTTTTGACTTGAACTTGTCATGTCCAATTGATAAAATGCCAACAGCAGAAGCAGCTTTAGGTTGCTGAAAGTGTTTAAAAAATTTATGTTAGTCCCTAAGTTCCCCTCAGCTTTCTTGCTATTTGTCCGCTTGACACAAGGGTACTCCCAGAGTAAAATTTCAACTGTTAGCCCCATTTATACAATGCAAGAAAATTCCACTACTCATATGTCCAGATGCAGCTACAATAGTGCAGATTCAAGATTGGACAAAGATTTGAATATGCAAACTAAATTCTGGACAATCCTAATCGCAAAGAATA